TTTCAAAATTATTAAGTTTATACTTAAATCCAGACATATTAGCTACCTAAAATGAAAAAGAAGTGCAATAAGTACAAAGCCTATTGTACAGATAACTAGTTTATCTAAAACAGTCTTTGTTATAAAACATGTATTCAATGCAAATAAAAGCATAATCAAAAAAAAAGTGTGAAATCTTCAAACTATGATTATGAATTCCATTAATCATCTCGAATCAGTTGATCAATTTGAAGCTACTGTCCAACAAAAGAACATGTTGATCATGTTGATTGTGCCAAAATTAATTTTCATGAAGTGGGTGGTTTTATTACAAATAGGATTCAAGAATTAATGATAGGCATAAATATTGACAGAGTAGCTAATACAGCCTATTAGGCTCATTTGTTAGTAAAAATGAATGTTAATACTCAAAACATAGTAGCAAAAGAAATTGCAAGTCTTGTTATTATTGAGATCGAAGATAATGATGATTATTCTTGGATATAAGCCAACTTACTAAAAATTTTTCATTTTTACTATATTTTTTATTTATTTATTTTATTTTATTTTTTTTTGATTTTTCAAATTTTTTTTTTGATTATTTAATATTTTTTTAATTTTATCTTTGTTTTTTCTCTTTTCTTTTTTTCTATTCATATCATAGCTATCAAGAGACAGAATCATCAAAAAAAATTGGCAACATAGTGTATAGGTTCACATATTTGTATTGCCAATCAAGAGAAGCCCAAAACAAAGAATATAAAGACTCTTATCATAAACAACCTGAGTGCCATGACTGCAAAGAAAAGATTATTATACATGTTGATACAATTCTTGGTACTGCCAAGTTAAATATCCATCATGAGTCTCTTCACAAACACTCAGATCTTTCTGAGAAAATGTCAAATGAATTACATAAAGAGATTAAAGAATATGCACATCTCACTATAATCTAATTAAAAACTTATCTACAGCATTTGGGTTTTGATATTTCTAAATATTTGCACAAATGTATATATTATTAGAAGAAATTAGTATGCTGGAACACATATCAATGTCATAATAATTCAGTCAAATTTGCATATATATTGCTTAATGAATATAGAAATTAAGATTTTCATTAATGCTTAAATATACAAGATTAAGATTCTATAGCCATTGCTTTTACAACCCTATTATTAAAGAAAATTAATAGTTTTAATATTTTTATTAGTGAGGTTTATATTGATACAATATATAAAATGGCATATAGATAGTTTAAGCTCTATAGGATTGTTGCTAATGTTGATAGAGTTAGTTTTTTATTAGCTTATCTTATCATGAATACAACAAAAGCAATGAATACTAGTACTAATACAGACAAGCATCTTATCTTATTAGAAAGCTTTCTGGAAACTATAAAGTCCTATAATATCAATCCAAAATTTGCATTTACTAATAAGAACTTTATAAAAATAAATATTGTATCAAACATATAGAGGCTTTAGCAGTTCAGTTGTATGCTTGGCATATAAACTATGCAGTAAAATGTAAGCTTGAAGAAAAAATAAAATTGTCAAGTAATAGTGAATTAATAACTGTAAATTATAATACTAATCAGTGAATTTAACTTTATTGATCCTATCTTTTACTTAATGGAAGAATATTGAAATCTATAATCATATGTTATTTGTTTACCTACATTTCAGAAAAAAATTTTAGAGCTGGTAAAGACATTATTATTAATTATATAATTTCATTTACTATAAAAGTTTATTTCTTTCTCAATATATAGATTTCTAATGTTTTTAATATAGTTGCATTTCCATATAAGCATATTATATATAAAAAAAATACTTATAGACTCCAATGATATGATTATATAGAAATGCGATTGTATTAAAATAAAAATGTTTATTCTTGTACTCTAAAAAATTATATAATAAATGTTAGCACCCAATTAGTTTACTGTTTTTTTTAAAAAAAATAATTAAAGATGCAAAGGCCTTTTAATATGCATTTATTAATACCTGTCAATGTGTAGAGAAATACAATAGGAGTAAAAGATATTAGAAAAAATGCAGTGAGAGAAATGTATTAATTTTGTACTGAGAATGAACTATAGTTGCTCTGGTCTTATCTTTGCACAAACTGGTACTCATCACAACAGTGGTACCTTTGGGCACAATTAACTAAACTGACTATACCTTACAGAAAAATAATAATAAAAATTGAGTCACATTAGTGTGTTATCAAACAATATTATTTACATCATTTTAACCAACCTAGATTGGATCTTCTTCTATGAATGCTTCTTAATGAAGTAGTTTCAGCACAGAAGGATCGATTTTTGCAGATTCAAGCTAGTATAGTAAAGCTGTTCTAATGGGATAACTTTAAGAAAAAGTGGATTTATGCTGGTGTAAGTAAAAAAGAATGAGTAAATATGTGTGCTAATAGATGTAATAAGAAAAAAAAAGAAATACTAATATAGAAACAAGCAATTCAGGTAATTTAAATAATTCAAGTAATTCATATTTTATTAATATTGCTCATTGAGTTTGCAGTTACTCTGCTTTTGTTAAAAATCTATTTCTGTTATATAAGCATCTAGTAAGACAGGCTGTAAACAATTCTGACAGAAAAAGATGATGCTTAATTAGAAATGATTTTGAATGTCATACTACTCTACCATTCCTTGTTGTGAATAGTTTCAACAATGATATTACACTACTGGATACTCAAATTATTGTTCAAGTTTCTGAAATCCATGATATCAATAATTATAATGTAGATGAAGTCCAAATGAAGAGACTTGAACCTATGTGGAATCCTATTGAAAACTATTTAAGCAGGCTTTTAGAAGGATCTGCTCAGTAAAGGCCTCTAATAATTAGCAACAAGTAAGTGTTATGATAAAATGGAGTCACTTGACACAAATAGAAAAAGATATTTAAACTGTTGAACAAAAAAGAAATAGACAAGTAACTTGGTCACTAGTAAATTCTAGAAAGCTGTACCTTATATATTTATCACATTCCGAAGAACCAAGGTCTGCTAAAAATAATAATGAATTAGTAAAGAATAATAAATTATAAAAATTGAAAAAAAAATCAAAAATTGTTATATTATCTTATTTATCTATCTAGCTTGAACTTTTTATTTAATAACAGATTTTTTAATATTCAAATAAAAAAATAACTGTAATGAAAGTATGTTAGTCACTTAATAGTTCTATAAAATTGCATATTTAGTTGCAATAGTTCTATAAAATTACATATTTAGTCACAATAATTCTATAAAATCACATATTTAGTCACAATAGTTTTATAAATTCTATATTTAGTCATAATAGTTCTATAAAATCTATATTTAGTTGCAATAGTTCTATAAAATCTATATTTAGTCACAATAGTTCTATAAAATCCATATTTAGTCACTACTAAAGGCTTTTTTTATTAAAATCAGCATTTGATCATAATGAAAGTATATAATGATTCTATAGTGTCCTTTTTAATAAAGATTATCTAACAATATCATGCTACAAGATCTGATATCCATTATTATAGGATGTGCTGTATCAATCATCAACCCAAAATTTGAGGGGGCCACTCTGGCATCATCATAAAGGCCTGTTATGCTCATATATCCTACTAGGAATTCTTATTTTCTGGTGCGATAATTCCAAATTCTGCCTGCTTTACAAATTAGTTTATGCAAATATTGTAATATTATTTTTAGAATTATGCTGCAAATTGGGAATCAAATAACAACTAGAGTTTTAATTCTTATATCTTAATATTAAAAATGACACTGGTTCCAACTATATGACTAAAGGTATAAATGTCTGCTGTAATTATAACATTATAATAAAAAGTGCATAGATCTTATTATAGTAGAACAAGCTATGGTATTATATTCATACCTCTAGTTGCAACCACTTATCAAAAATTATTTTAATAATTTATGAGCTTGTGTTTACATTTCTGAATTCCCTAATACCAATATGACTTCTAATAAAAATTACAATTATACTTATTCTGCTTTAATTTTACCATTTTATGTAATATAATTTGATTTATGTGCAGATTATGCTATTACAAATTGGTAGTATTCTTATGCCTTACTCTTAATTGCAGCTATAGTTTAGTAATTAAAACAGGAGAAAATGTACCTAATCCAAAATGAATTCCACACATAGTGTGATCATAAAATTATTTATTTTAGTCATAATTAATCACACTGTATATGGAATTCACTATGAATTAGGTATGTTTCTATCTGTTTTTAGTAATATGCATATTACAAAGTTTCTGCAATTGTATATATGAAAAAATCTAGTAAATTTTTAGCCAATTATGTATTGTATTTGTTTTAAAGGAACTTGCTAATCACAGTAATTTGAAAAACATAATAAATCCATTTTTGCTATCAATTGACTTTAGTTTATTAGATTGTATTTGGTTTTTTAGTAGTTTCTGTTTTTTTTATGTATAATACATATGTAGAAGAAAGGAGCTACACAATTCTACTATGTATTTTAGATAGAATGTAGACTATATACTTAAATCCATTTTTAACATCAATTGATATTAGCATTAGTTTATTAGTTGTGGTTTTTTCCTTTGATTTAATCTTTTTTTTTATATTTGTTCTTTTGTCTTATTTATATTTAACATTGATACACTATTTTCTGAGAGAGAATAAAACATAATTATTTAATAGTTTTATATTAAAAGTATAACCTTAGCTATTAAAAAAATATTAAATAAGTAAAAAAAAAATAAAATAGAAAAGATTTTTCTAGATATAGAAATTTTAATTAAACTTCAACTATATGATAAAATCAAAGAAATGCTTAGTAAAGAACAATTATTAATTTGTGAACTAGAGAATGATCACTTGGAACTATATAGATTATTCTCGCATAAGTATTATACAACCAATACTGCCTATTTAGATATTATCAGTGAAATAGATAATGAAATAAAACAAAAAAATTTGCAAAAAATTTTGAATACTATAAAGAAGATGTTTTATTTATGCAGTTATTATCAAACATTATAAATCAAAAAAAAATCAATATAAATAAAACTATAAGAGAATTAGAGATCACTTTAGAAACTGAGTTTATTGAATCTATTCAGCAAAATTTCAATCAGATCAATAAATGTCCTGAAGGCTTTGATGGATATAGGACTATAACAAAATATGAAACTACCTTGCATGATAGAATTAATAGAATAATTGGTAAGAAATCTCAAATTTTAGATTCTCAATGTTTAAGTAAGATAGAAAATAAAGAAACTGAAATGTTAATTAATTCTTTGAAACTTATAAAGACATTAGCCAAACAGGCAGCTTACTCACAGAAAATTGTTTATATTCAATGTTTTAAATTCTTTAGATAAAAGAGAAATCTTATTTAACAATGTACAATTTACAAAAAAAGAAATTAACAACCATATTAATGAGCTTGTATTATATTTTCATTCTGATAAAACTGCAAATCCTAATTCTTCAAAGTGGCTTAAAGTAAAAGATAAAGATCTAGGCAATAAGCTATTTAACTTTATTATAAAATTTATAAGGAGATTTTCAATGTTCTTGGAAATGAAAAACTATAAAAAAGAAGCTGATAAGTTTTGAAAAAAAACTATTGATTGCTGCAATGCAGTCCAAAGTAAATAGGATAAACTAGAATTGTTAGCAAAAGAAGAAGTAGAAAAACTTACCCAAAAAGAGTTAAAAGAATTACATGCTGTGATGGCAGAATGTGCCTATAGGCAATATAATGCAGCTTGTAAAATTGCAGATAAAGCTAAAAGACTATATAAACAAGTAAAGTTACAAGAAAATATAGCATTATGCTTGCCATCATACTTTTCATTGTATCTGAACTATTTTTATAACACTTTATTAGCCTCATTTTATGCTTTATTAGTGATTTATTTGCAGAAGTCAAAGATAACAAAAAAAAAACTATCAGATTCAAAAAATATATTTGATTAAGTCAGAGGCAGAAATTTTGATGATATTTCTTCAGGACTATATTTTTGTATTAACAATTTTTTCCAAAACAAGTCTGCTGTAGTAAGAATAGAGGAAAAAGAGATTACTCATCATTATTATTCAAAAATTCAGAATATAATTTGCAATGGTCTAGTAAAGATAAGTGCTAAATTATTGCATAAAGTAGACTGATCTTTTGCTCATTGTGAGATATCAAAAAAAAAAATTAGTGATGTAGAAACAAATCAATGAAAAAAGATGCACTTTTTGCAGAGGGGAAAGTTTGCCAATTAATATTTTCAACTATCATAGTTTTGCAGGATTCAGATTTGAAAATAGAATACTTAGTACAATTATAGCACTAGAAGCTGGATATTTGATAGATGTTGCTGAAAAGAAAGGTTTAGAAATATTGCCAATGAATATGAATATGCCAGAAGATTATAAAAAATTCAATAAAGGTTTAATCAAAGCATTAAGAGCTTATAGCAAAGGAGATTATCTCACTTTTTTAGAAAAACTTTCTAATAACGAACTTCTAAAATTAAAAAAAAAGATAATTCTGAAAATGCTGTTTCTATTTTTAGAAGTATAAATATTGAGCTTGATGAAATTATCGAAAAACTTTTAAATTTTAAGGTTAGAACAGATGGTATAGCACATATATTGTACTTAATAAGATGGGCCTTGACTAGCAGAAAAATAATTTTGAAAAAAAATTCAGAAAAAGAGCATTTAGTAAAAAAAAATTTGAATAAAATATTTAATGAAAAAAATAATCTTGAGAAGAGAGCAAAAAGAACATTTAATAAAAAGAACAAACTTAAGAAGAGAGCAAAAAGAATATTTAATAAAAAGGATAAACTTGAGAAGAGAGCAGAAGAATTAGACAATAAATTCTATAAATTGTGAAAAAAAAATGTAAAGATCTATTGAAAGAATAGTGAAATAAATAATGACTTTTAGGAATATGAAGATAATGCTCGAAAAATGCCATTTCAAGCAAGACTGAAAGAAGTACTTAACATATCAAGGATTAGTCTTATAATTTTTGACTTATTATATTTCAATTATAAAGAAATAAAGTGAGTAAAAAAAAATATTAAAAAAGTTCAAGGTTCAATAAACTGCAATTATTAGTTTGTTGGTCTTGCTAAATATTTCTTAGAAGTTTTAGAAGAAATTTTGTGAATCATTGGATGTAAGGAAGAATTTTCTGAAGAAGAAACCCAATTAAAAGAAGAATCATCTCAAAATGTATATAAAGAACTATGTGAAGATGAACAGCTGGCTGAAAAAGAGGTTAATAGTTTAAATAGTTTAGTTTATTGGCAAAAAGCACTAAAAAAATATGAGCATATGCTTGAAAAAAATTCTAAATAGCAAGATTTGCAGCTTTGTTATGCAAAGTGCTTACTAAAATTGTTTAAATATATATAAGCTATGAATGTTTTAATTTAAAACTTGCTATGAACTTATTATTAAAATGCAAGATCATTCTTAGCATTGCTTATTGTAAGCAAGCTAATTATAAAAAAGCTAATGAATGCATTAATGAGGCATTAAGGCTAGACTTCAAAAGTAAATTAGCTAAAAAACAGAAAGATATTCTCAAAAAACTTATCATAAAAGATAAAATTGAATGCAAAATTGATTGTTATGAAAAAAAAAACAATAAAATAAAATACAAAATAGATTTTTAAAAGAATTCTCATAGTAATTAAAACCTATTTACAATATCTTATCAATTGATAAAAAAGGTATATGTGAGATATTACCTGCTTTATAGCTCAGTGAAATAGAATCTCATATCTATAGGCCAATTTCACATTTATTTAATATGATAGCTGGAACTTCAACTAGCAGAATAATTGCTGCTAGGCTGTCAGCTCTATGGTTTTTACAAATCAATACATCTTACAATTATTCTAACTCAAGACTAAGATTCATGGCTTCAGATATATTGAACCTGTATAAAAATAGAGCAAATAATTATTTACTAGACCTTCTTCATTCAATATATTATTATTAAGAAAGAAGTATACAGATAAAGGTTATTATAAGTGGTTTAATGATAAATTTGGTAATATAAAATTAGATCAAGCACTTACTAAGTTGGTAATTCCTGCAGTAAATAAAAACAATATAATGCAATCACATATTTTCACAAGTTATAATGGTCATAAAGACACCTCAAAAAATGACATATTTGTCAATGTCTTAATGGCTACAACTGCTATGCCTATCTTTTTCTTATCTTATGAGATAGTAAATAAAGGTATTTTTTTTAGATGGAGAATTAAGTTTGAATAACCTAGCATCAGAAGCTTACAGTCAAGCCAGACAATATGATGTAAATGAAAAAAATATTTATATGCTTTTATTTGGAACAGAAAGCTATATATCAAATCCTATCAATCCTAACTTATCTAGGAGTCTGCTTTTTTGGTTACAAAATGTCTATAATATAATGATGTCTTTAAAAGAAAGTGATACTGACAGACAAATGTATACTAATTTAGGAAACCACTATCAGTAATGGCAAATCTGGCTTGAGAATTCAATAAAATTAGATGAATTAGAAAAAATACCTTATTTTTTAAAGTTGGACTATCAATATATTGAAGAACTTGATAGTTCTAATAAAAATTCTATTAACAAATTGGTTGAATCATTGAAAAATAAAAATTGTATCTGAAATTCATATTTATTATATATCCTAGCAGGTGTCAGAACTATTTCAGATGGTTCGAGACTATTAGATGCTTTATGAAATAAAAATTATACAGAGGCAATAATTATTAGGCAGTAAATATTTCTTGTGATCAGATTAGTGATTTCCTTTAACTTTATATGTTATACGTCACTTTGGAATTTATGTTAATCTCGAATTGATATAAGTCACTTTGGAATCGTAATTTGATATATGTTATATAATAATCAGTATGTCATCAACGACTATGATACCGATTAAAAATACCCCCAAAAAAAGTAAAAAACAAGCATCACGACACACGATATATTTTTACTTTGAATGTTTATTCTAGCATTATATGATAATCATTTTTTTTAATAGCTTGCCAGTAAAATTGAACAAAGTTACAATAATTGAATTTTATCTATGCGATAATGTATAATTTTTGTGAAAAATAAACTATCATTAATTCTAATACTAAGTTCATATTAACAGTTAATCTTAATGATTGTTGCATTTACCCCGCAACACACAACCACAATGCCTAGTACAAAGTGCATTATTCTTATGGCATAAACAGCTCTTAGTCTTACAATTTGTTTTGCTGCAATGGCAGCCATTGCGTTGAGATGTCTTGCTTGTTTGTTCAGTTGTTTCTTGAATTATTGAATTATTTTTAACTATGCGTAGTGGCCGTGTCAAACTTTGCTGTACCACAGCATTTTTCAAAGAGATAAAAGTGCCAAGAGGAATAATGTCAAGTGCAGGATATTCATTAGTACCCAATGGTTCTAATTCGTTAGCTGGATACCACTTATCTAAAATTCCAAATTCAAACCCAACCTGATAAGAATCAAAGTTAGGCTTTTTTTGTATGACCTTACAAGGCAATGCATGTCAATCTATTTTTCGTTTGTCAATATCAGGTATTCAAATCTTCACAAAATCACCTGAATTTAAAGTTAATGTGCGTTTTGTTTTATGCCATTTTTCTATTACATTGCAGATGAATTGACGATTTTTCTTAACATGTTGAATTGCTGCATCTCTTAAAGGTTTGTGATGATTAAAACTTGCTAGAGTTGAATTTTTACTTGATGAATAACTTGCTTGAGATGCAATTGATATATCGCTTTGTGATATTTCTTCATATAATGTATCTGCATAGCTTGTTTGAGATATACTTTCTGACATTGTATCATCGTAATCATTCTCTAAGTCTATAGCATCA